GGGGGGGGGGGGGAGAGGGGGACTCAGGTCCTCCACCCGACAGTGACCCTCCAGCTCCTCAGCTACAGACAGGGGTACCCAAAAGGAGTGAGCCCCCACTTTCTCCCAGCGACCTAAGACCGCTACTGATTCTTTCTGACAGGCCAGAGGAATATTAGGAAGGGTTCCTGCGTCCCTCAAAGGCCGCTCCAGGACGCATTACACCTACAACCCACGCTCACCTCCCACCTCAGGCCCTGCCGCCGCCGCCACAGCAGCCGCGATCTCCTCCTCCTCCACCTCCTCCTCCTCCTCCTCCTCGGCTCAGGGCAGAAGCGCCTCGACGTGCGTGCGTCAGCAAGGCACCGCCCCCGCGCCACCACCACAGAGCCCCGCCCACAGGGTGATCTCATCGACGTTGACCAATCAGGGGTTGTCTCGCTGGGGCTGCCGCAGTGCGGAGTTGCAGGGGCGCGGGCGAGTCTCATGCTAGTGACGCCATCTTGATCCCAATCCGGTGACTCCAGCTGGGAGGGTTGTGGGGCGGGGCCGGTGGTGCCAGGCTTTGATGTTTGGGGTCCCTGAGAATTTTCAGACTTTTGTCTCTAATCCTTCTCTTTCAGGCAAGATTGCGTACCTGCTTTATTAAAAAAAAAATTGGTTCCCAGAGATCCTTATGAAATAGTCCATTCCACTTAAACATGAAAAGCTTTCTTATTCTTAAAGTACATGGTGTGTTTCTTCCAGCAACTAGATTTACATTTTCTCTTAGGAGGAAAAACCTTTAAAGACCATAAATTGGAAAAGTCATCTCATGTGTGTGTGTATGTGCCAGGACTGGGGCTAGAACTCAGGGTCTGGCTATTACTGTCTTTTAGCTTTTTCTTTCAAGGCTGGCCGGCCACTACTGCTCCACTTCCTGTTTGGGAGGTAGTTAATTGAAGATAAGATTCCCACCGACTTTTCTGCCCAGGCGACTTCCAATCTCGATCTTAAGATCTCAGCCTCCTGAGTAGCTAGCATTACAGGAGTGAGCCACCAGTGCCTGGTTTTGAAAGTCTTATTTTTAACCTTCTTTGGTAGATAGATACTTGTGGGTCTATTTGACCAGTTTGGGGTTTGCAGTTGCTCAAACTTATTAAAGAGAATAATTTTTAAATGCCACATGATGCCGATTATTTTTTAAACTGCCTTCTCAAATATTAATGATGAGTCCCTTTCCTTTTCTGTTTGAAAGGAACAGAATTCTTGAGTTTGTAATAACCAGAAGCACATCAGTAAGAACTTGGAAAACTGGTTATTCGGCCCGTGGGTGGTGGAATCCTTTTTAGATTCAAGTGTAATGAGGGAAATATTTAAAAAAACAAAAACAAAAAACCTGAAATTTAAATTTTTTTGTCTGCCTGGCAAAAACGTTGTTGACCTTGATTTACTAGCCTATATAAAATAACAAAGGACAAATATGGACATTTTATTGGAATCTTCTCTCTTGTTGGGTGAGTGAAGACACAAGTTGACTTCATTGAAGTTTTCTTGAGAAGCAACATCTGAACAGAGTCATACTCTTTTCCTTGCTTCCTGTGTCTCTCAACTTTCCTGACAAGGCAGATAGGGACCCACATTTGAAAACCTGCCAAGTTTTAGAAAACTATTACACAATTACTGTCACTTCCTTCCTCAGAGACTTTAAAAAAAGGAATTACCCTTAGTCAGATGCTTGCTAACCACAAATTTTTTCATAGCCTTTCCCTTTGAACTGCTTTCCTGGCTTCCTTGAAAGTATATTCTCTCCTTTTTCCTTTCATCTGCTGCCCCAAGTCGTGTGTGTGTGTGTGTGTGTGTGTGATTGTGTGCAAGCGCGTGCCAGTACTGGGCTTAAAAGCAGTGCCTATGCCAGGTGCTGGTGGCTCCTGCCTGTAATCCTACTCAGGAGGCTGAGATCTGAGGATTGCAGTTCAAAGCCAGCTTGGGCAGGAAAGTCCATGAGACTCCTACCTCCAACTAACCACCAGAAGTGGCGCTGTGGCTTAAGTGGTGGAGCATTAATCTTGAGCAGATAGTGCTCAGAAACAGCACCCAGGCCCTTAGTTCAAGCCCCACAGCTGACCAAAAAAAAAAAAAAAAGTATCATGGATTTTTCTGGGTAGGCTGGCTTTAAATTGTGATTCTCAGAGCTCAGCCTCCTGAGTAGCTAGTCCACTGGCACCCATCTTAAAATTCACTTTTTTTGGAAAGGCTTTTTGCACAACTTTTTTTTTTGTGTGGTACTTAGATTTGAATTTAGGGCTTCACATTTGCTAGACAGATATTCTTCCACTTGAGCCACATCCCTAGCTGTGCACTGCATTAAGTCCCATGAGCTAAAACTCCCCCTACCTCATGTGTCTATCACAAGAGTTATGAGGGTTGCATAAAATGTCACATGCTTTATGCTTACATCTCCTTGTTCATATAACCGTTAGTAGAGCTAAAGAAAAAAACCAGCTGGGCGCTAGCAGCTCATGTCTGCAATCCTAGCTACTAGGACGCTAAGATCTAAGGATTGCTGTTAGAAGCTAGCCCTGGGCAAGAAAGTCTAGGAGACTCTTATTTCCAATAAACTACTCAGAAAAAGCCAGAAATGGCACTGTGGCTCTAATGGTAGAGCACAAAGAGACTCAGGGACAGCATCCAGGTCCCGAGCTCAAGCCCCAGGACTAGCAAACAAAAAAAGGAAAAAAAAAAAACCAAAACACTTTTTTAGCATCAAAGGAAATCTCAATTTTATTTATTTATTTATTTTGTCTGTCATGGGGCCTGAACTCGGGCTGGGCCCTGTCCCTCAGCTCTTCAGCTCAAGGCTAGCACTCTACCACTTGAGCCACAGCACCACTTCTGGCCTTTTCTGCTTATGTGGTACTGAGGAATCAAACCCAGGACCTCATGCATACAAGGCAAGCACTCTACCACTGAGCCACCTTCCCAGCCCACAAAATCTATTATGAAGTTTTTGCTTTTTACACACACACACAAAAGTATTATAAACATAAGCTTTGAAAGTAAAAGAAAAAAATTTTAAAAAAGTGAAAGCAGAATGTTATTTTGACGAACTTGGAGTGAAGTAATAAAAGAGACTACTTCAGTTAGGCACTGGTGGTGGCTCATGCCTGTAATCTTAGCTACTCAGTAGGTTAAGATCTGAGGATTGCAGTTCAAAGACAGTCCAGAAAGGAAAACCCCTGAGACTCTTATTTCCAATTAACAATCCAAAAAGCTGGAAGTGGAGCTATGGCTCAAATTGTGGAGTGCTAGACAAGTGAAAAAAAAAAAATCAGGCCCTTGAGTTGAAGCTCCAGGATTGGCATCAGAGAGGGAGGGAGAGAGGAAGAGGAGGAGAAGGCTGTGATCTCAAGGGCTAGGCAAGGAAAATTTTCCCTTTATCACGAGAGGTAAACAAAGCCAGAAAGAGCCAGGAGTGGAAAATGGTATGAAATCTGCTGTGATAGAGAAGAATGAGAATGTTTGCCTCTGAGGCCAGCCAATTTTCAGGATGGGCTGGCTCTGCCCTGGCTCAAGCTGAGGAAGCCTGGGCCAAAGTTCAGATAGGGTCTATCAGAAAGGCTGAAGAGGTTTCAGGAAGGTTTGGCTCTCCAGAACTTTGTTCTGAGCGATCAGTGGATTCAAGCAGATCACCTAATCATTTGTGAGGAAAACAATGGGCTTTTCAAAGATCTATCTCTGTCCTAAGGAAACAATCTGCGTCCTGTCTCCAAGGGGACATCTGTAATTTATATGGAAAACAGAGGTTCTTTATGTGAATTCGTTACCAGAACATTAAAAAAAGGGGGGGCTAGGAATGTGGCTCAGTGGTAGAAAACTTGCCTCGCATGCATGAGGCCCTGGGTTCAATTCCTCAGGACCAAATAAGTGGAAAAAGCCAGAAGTGGCACTGTGGCTCAAATGGTAGAGCGCTAGCCTTGAGCTTAAGAGTTCAAGTGTCCAGGCCCAGAGTTCAGTCCCAAAAACTAGGCCGGTGGGGGAAGGGGGTGGCAGCAAATTTCTTTAATTTTTTTACAGTTTTCCAGAAGCCTGGGGATCAGGTAATAAGATTCAACATTGTCTTCTCCTCTTCCGTTCTCCCTGTCCCTAATACCTGTAAATAATTAATCCACTTCTGCCTCCATAGATAGTCTCACTCAGAGTTCATTAAATGTAATAATTGACTGGGGTGGGGTTCCAGTGGTAAAGTGTCAGTATGAGGTCCTGAGTTCAAACTCTGTGCCTGTCAAAATAGAAAAAAAGTAACTGAAAAGCAAGTCCTGAAGACCCCACCTGGGGTGTGGAATGCTAACCTAGAGCAACAAAACTGCCCAGTCCCTGAGTTCAAGCCCCAGAACTGGTACACACACACATACACACACACACACACACACACACACACACACACACACACACACACCCTATAAAACAGTAAACAATTCATTTTCATTTTTTGAAGTACTGGGGCTCTAACAGGGTTTTGTGCATGCTAAACATGTGCTCAACCAGTGACCTACATTGCTAGCTCCAGTGAATGATTTTAAAAAGAAATTCAAGCCGGGCACTGGTGACTTATGCCTGTAATCCTAGCTACTTAGGAGGCTGAGATCTGAGGATGGAGGTTCAAAGCAAGCCCAGGCAGGAAAGTCTGAGAAACTCTTATCTCCAATAAACCACTCAGAAAACTGGAAGTGGCACTGTGGCTCAAGCGCTAGAGCACTCGCCTTGAGCTGAAGAGCTGAGGGACAGTGCCCAGACCCAGAATTCAATCCCCACAACCAACTCAAAAAAAAAAAAAGATTCAACTTTATTATTTACCCACTATACATAGTTTCTCTAATTGCAAAGCTTTTCCTGTAGAAATTAGACTTAATCCTTCTGTGATAAACAAGTAAGTGAACTTGAAATGCAAATTATCTATTTATATACCAGTAATAATTAGCCTAAATCCCTCTATTAAAAGGAGATAAAGGGCTGGGGATGTTGTTTCATGGTAGAGTGCTTACCTAGCATGCTTGAAACCCTGGGTTCGATTCCTCAATACCACATAAACAAAAAAGCCAGAAGTGGTGCTGTGGCTCAAGTGGTAGAGTGCTGGCCTTGAGCAAAAGAAGCTCAGGGACAGAGCCCAGGCCCTGAGTTCAAGCCCCAG